GAATGCTTTGAAAAATTAATTCTCCTATGGAGCAAGCTGGGACATCTCCAGCGAGGACTATGGAGTTAAGGACATTTACACAAGCTACAGTACTGCCCCTCACTATGGCTGCGGTCCAGTTTAAAACTCATTTGTTCAAAGCACACCGGTGCCAGGAGATGGGACAGCTCAAGGATGCAAACAGGAGCTGCACCCACAGGGGACCCCACGGGTGCAGGGATGCGTCCACCCAGAGCCAGGGCATGGGACAGGGGGGACAAGGGGTGACAGTGTCATTTCTCTGATGGCTGTCTAGAGGATCTCCTGTGTAGAGTTAGGACACGCATCTCCAAGGCAAAAAAAAGGATTAATTTGCGTGGGTCTGTAAGTGTGCTCATCACAGCTCGGTGAGAAGTTGCTACTGGGAAGATCTTTCTGTTGGAGCCATTCCCCAGGTGAAACTCCAGTGCCCACAGGTGAAAACCTCCAGAGAAAAAGCTCAATTTTGATAGTGCTTTTCAAATTAAAAACTTATTGAGCTATTTGATAGTAAGTCAATTCAGTTTGAACATGTTGGGTTCGAATCAAAACCTTCTAACAATGTAATAAAACACTGATCTGCAGTTTCCTATCAGCAGGATATTTCCGGAGCGGGGAAGGGTGTGAATACAGTCCTGGACCACATTCACATCTCTGGACTGGCTCCCTGCGACACTACCAATTCCCACCACGCAGTAAATGTTTTCTTCTGACAGGTTTTACATGTGTCATCATAGAAGGTATGTGCCTCACAAGGAACGGTGCACGGGCAGCAGGGGAACAGGACCAAACGCCCACAGCGTGCAGAAACGTGGGTCCACACTGAATCAGCCCAAAGCTTTCACAGGTGGGGTCTCTTCAACTGACTTTAAACTGTTCAATTCAGATTTAAAATACTGAAACAAAACATATGCCAGACCAGGTCTGCCTGCATTGCTGGTGCTTTTTCACATACCAGTTGGCAAACAGAAAAATTAGACAAGCTTCCAGACATATCCGGTATTCCTCAGATCAAAAGGTACCACCTTCCCTTCCAAAATCCTGGCTTGCTTATGTGCTGGGACTATCACAGCTACCCTATGACCACCACGAGGAACAAAACCACCATGAACGGACAGCTCAGTGGAGAACCTTCTTCTATTTCTGCGTTCTTTCCAACACCAAACCTATATTTAGCCCTTCCCTTCCAGGAGGCCACGTGCCCCGCCAGGATCGGGCCCACCTGCACTTGGGCCCACCAAGCACTGCAGTTCACCCGCTGAAGAGCCCGTAAAACACACACTCCTCCTGTTGTGTAACGATTCCTGTTTGCCATCTGACTGTAATTAACCATAACGCACAGGATTTAAACTCCGCGGAGCGATTTATTTCCACGCGATTAGGCAGGATGACTCGCAGTAGCTTTTTTTTTTTTACAACACTCCAGTTTCCCTGAAGGTTGGAATTTCCTTGTTTGCTTAAAATAAATCAAGCGACTCGCTGTCATTGAAACATGCTCTTGTTTAGGATCACGCCAGTTCCGAACGCAAGAAATGTGACTTCATGGGTCAGAATACGTTACTCACAAACCTTCCCGATGAGCGGGAGACGGCAGCCCAACACCTTGGGAAAGAGCTATTCCAGCAGCAAACACGCAGTCAGCCCGGCCCTGCGGGCTCCCGCTCAGCTCACAGCACCACTAAATCCATTACTGCTCATTGCAAATGATTTGTGGGTAACAAAGAGCAGCACGAGAGCTTCTCCCAACCTCCCAGACCCCGGCACGGCAGCGCAACGGATGCGCCTGCCTAGATCATGGCGACGGAAGAGCTCAGATAACAACCACCACCAAACCCCCCCAGACCCATCACCTCCACCCCGGGAGGACCGGCCGGCAGAGCTGAGCCAGCCAAAGGCTCCCAGCAGGGTGAAGCGCTGCCTGGAAGTGCAGGGATGGAGCACTGGCTGCGCAGAGCAGGACAGGAGCAGATCAGGGAGGGGAGAGACCCCTCAGGGTGACACGGGACAAAACCACCACGTCCACGCAAGCGTCCTTCCCTCATTCATCCTTACACAAAGCTTTCCAGCTGCCACCAGCAGTCGCAGGGGTGGGCGGTGGGACAGGCACGTCTGTCAGCAGGACCCAGCCATAGGGCACCACTGCACCGGGACCCAAAGGTGCCAGATCCCGCCAGAGATGCCCTCCTGAGCCTCCTTCCACCCTGGCTCCCGCCAGTCTGAGCGCAGCCCCGAAGCTGAGTCAGCCTCTCTTTGTGGGAAGCCATCCTTGAACAGGGAAACCGTCTCATTCCCACCTTCAGGAAGGAGGTGGAGCCTTGCACCAGGGCAAAAGGAGGTCACACAGCTGGAAGCATGGCACCCACTGGACACCACGTCCATCAGGCAATGCAAAGAGCCACGGTGGGCTGGCCCAAAGACCCCCAACACCAGCCCCAAGTGCTGCTGCAACACAAGAGAGTGATTCCATTGAAATCCCAGCTTTTATTCAACAGCAGGCCATGCTGTGAATCCACCTCCCTGCAAGAAAAACCTCAACACCACAAACACGCCCCCATCAGCCCAGTGAGGCACCGAGCCCCCCGCAATGCCCCGGCGTGCAGCCAGCCTGCAGGAACGACTTTGGGGGGACTGTCCCCTCCCTCCCACGGGCTGCCAAGACTTAAAACCTCCTGGTGACACCTCCCCAACCCTGTACCTAAAGCTTTGCTCCTGAAAAGTGAACGCAAAGAAAAGAGGGATGACCTGAATGTGCCTCTCTTCTTCCTGCAGGAAGAAGATACTTAAGGGCTCCCAGGCTGGCTCCTGTAACAGCATCCCATGGCTTAAGGAGAGCCTCTCTCCGTTCGCTGGAGGGCTACCTCCACCGAGGACAGTTCACTGAGCCACACAGCCCCTGCACTGCAAAAGTGAGAGGTTTCTGCTCTCATGCCTTAACCACCAGCCCATGTCCTCGCAGCCTGCCCACCCGCTCCACGTGGCTCTCGGGATTGCACATCACCGTTTCCCAGAAGAGCATCCATGGGGAAGTCGGGAGGGCACCATCCTGCCCTGGCCAGCTGCTGACTCACAGGGCACATCCCCTGCTCCGTGCCTCAACTTCCCCTTTTGAACCAAAATGCCCCATTGCTGGAAAGTCTGGTGAGACTCAGCGGCTGGAAGTGCAGTTCCCTGAACCTTGAAGCTGGCTGTTTCTATCCGTGCTGTGCACTCACGGTGGACACATAAAACCCACCTCCTCCCTTCCTTGCAGGAAGGGCCCAGCCAGACCACATGGCTGGACAATCACCTCCCCACCCCTCCACGGGCAGATCTCATGTCAGCCTCATCTCTCCCAGCTCAGTGCAGACCACCAGTCTCAAAGCCACCCCGTGGGGTCCAGGAGGGAATGTCCTGTCTTTGAGCCAGGGGCTGCCCCGACGTCAACCGAAAGCCATGGGCTGGCACAGCACAGGGTGTATCAGCCACTCCTGGGCTATGGGCATGTGGCAGATCTGCTGGTCACCGCAGGCCGGGAAGCTCCCGCTCCATTTGCGGCCTACTCTGGAATACCTTGGGCAGACAGAGGGAACGCAAAGGGATTTGCAGAATCCCATAATCATGGCCTGCCCAGACCTACTGACCCCTGTGAGGGAACACACATGTAGGAAAACAAATATTTCATGTTTTCTATACAACTGCTACACTCCAGCTGCAACGGATAACGCAGATCTCGGTCACCAGACCTGCGAGAGCCATTTAAGCCCATCAGAAGAAAGCTGAGCACTTCATTACGTCTTGACAAAAACGAGTTTTCCCCTCCCAAGGGGGAAGGAAGCAGCCAATTCTCTTTCAATCACTTCTACTTAGGAGCCCAAAGCTTCTAAATTAACCATCGGGCTCCAAATGCGTTTTCCCAAACGCATGAGAAAACGCAGGAGTGCCTCATCCCGCTGTCGGGATGTCACTGCTGAACACCCATCGCGGCCTTTCTGACTCACCGCAGTGGATGAGCCGGGCAGGGAGACATCACGCAAGCAGGACATTCCACTGGGACATGCGTGGAGCAAAGCCCCAAGGAGGCAGCTCCTGCCCGACCGCCCCGGGAAGAAATCGAGGAGACGAGGACGGAACAAGAGAGAAGCGTGAGAGAGAACTCAGCCCATGGTTACGCAGCAAGTCGTGCCTTGGCCCAAGTCCCAGCCACTCAAGGTGAACAACTTTCATTCCGAAGGTTTTTTCACCCAACTTTCACAATAGCTTATTCTTTCGCAGCGCTGCTGAGCAATGTTTGCCTTTCTCCTCTACGCCCTGGGGATCTTTCCCAGCTCCAAACTTCCACCTCTGAAAATACAAGGCCTTGAAACCAGGAAGACAGTAAAGTCGCTGGAAAAGGACAAAAAAAAAAATTAAAAAAAAAAAGCCACAGCATTCAATGATTAGGTAGGTCCAGTCACTGCGAACCAATTTTAGTCTCCTTGGCTGCTTCACGACGCAGACGTTAACCGTGCCAACGTCTGAGCGATCGCAAATCTGTTTAGAGCGTTTAACCACGTACCAGCTGCACGTTTTTAGGGCCACGATCATATGTCTTTTAGAATGAGCTTCCTTATTTAACTCGAGGGCTTCAAACCCGGGTGCTTGAAGACAAGAAAAGCAAGACGCTTATAAAATAAAGACAAAACAGCTGGCAAGGAAAACTGCCGCTGGGCAAAAGAATCCCAAGGCAAATCAAAAGTGAAGATCCACCCATGGCACACAGGGGGAAGAGGAAAAGCAAACCTGTCCCAGCGCTGCCTCCCCTTTCACGGATTCCTTTTAGCAGCTTCTTACTAATATGTTCTGGCTACAGTCGTTACACTTCCTTCCAGACCTCGGGCAAATTAATTTAAAAGGAAGCTAAAAACAGCCCATTCAGTGCTCCCTGCTCCCGCAGAAAGGATCCGAGTTGTTAGTACGTGTTCAGTTCCCACTAGAAAGTTAATTTGGAAAACAGCAACACTCACCTCTGCAAGGTAAAGGATGCAGAATTTCCGATCTTCTGAACCTATAAAGAAGAAAAACCAGGATCAAAATCAAGCTACAACTGCATTTCTGCAAGCAGAGACACGGGCAGAGGACTTGGCTAAGAGACAGCAGTTAATGAATATTTATCATTGTGGTCCCACAGTACCAGGCTGCGATCTGGGCGTGATGTATGCCGCATCTGCAGGGGCCACGCGCCGGCAGGCTGCACCGCGGGCCGTCTTGAGTGGACTCACGGCACTATCACGGATTCTCCTTTGGGTTTGTCCCTTTGGAAAAAGGTTTGTTTCATTCAGAGGAGACGCACAGGCTCTTCTGCCCGACCTGCCGTGGCACGTGCAGCCCGATTCCTCCCCGGGAATTCCTTCCTACGGCCGTCCTGGGCACCGCAGTCGGGTCTCTCCTGTCTTACCTCTATGGACACTGTTTTCCCAGGAGGACTAACCAAGGCAGCTCCTGTTCCTCTGTCCTTGCTCATTCCCAGCCTCTTGCCCCAAGCCCTTGGTAAGGCTGGTGGTAGCTCTGTCTAGCGCTGTCTGTCCCAGCCTCCATCAGCGCCTGAGTCAGTGCCTCTCCAAGGAGATGGAGCCGAATCCCAAGGCAATGGGAAGCAGCTGACTTGCGGCAGAGCTCATCCTGCTCCAGCAGGCTGAGGAAAAACTCCCCAAGCTCCCACCAGTGTGAGGAGGTCACTCAGGAGACCTGGCCAAAGGGTTTGGACTTCCGTAGCTTCGGGAAAAGAGATGGTGCTGGAGACGGTGCAGTGACCAACATTGCAATCCATGTCTTGCTAAGTCACGGAGCAGCCCAGTTCAGCTCCCTGTCTTGCTGCCAGCTATCCCAGGAGATGTGTTATGCTCCAGCTGCTCCACCAGGCTGGTTCCTGCAGGTCTAGCACTCCCTGTCCTCAAAAAAGAGGCATTCCTTAAGGTTTGCCCTGGTCTTTGATCCCTGCTGGTGAGACATGAGTGTCCTCAGCCCCAAGGGAAGTCATCTCCTGCCATACACAAGCCTCACAGGAGGACCCACAGGACAGGGTCACCTCAACTCTGAAGCAGGACACCCCACCTCCTGGAACTGGCTCGCCCCTTTGCACCAGCTTTGCCCTTGGTAGCACGCAGCACCTCAAGGCTGCAGCTTTCATAACCCTTTTAATGGCATTATCCCTGCCATGAGATCAGATCCGCAGCCTGGGCATGGCAGCAGATCCTATTCAAAGTGGAGTCAGCACAAGCTCTGCTTCATTTCAACAGCCTGAGCCACACTAACCATGGGAACAGGCTCTGTCTGTGCTGGAAACACCCTGTTCCTCCCAGGAAAGCAATTCTTCTGCCGCAGGCAGCAGCTCACATGTCAAGATAAGAGCTGTGACCGACTGAGGGACTCAGACGCCTCTGGAGTCACTCCCTGGGCAAAGCCAAACCCACGAAGAAGCGCAATGGCCCAGGGCCGTTTGCTGGATGTCTCTTCCAGCTGCCCTTTGGGGAATCCAGGTCTGTCTCCGCTGCCAGCTTCTCTTGTAACCCACGTTGCAGGATATGGGCTGGGATGTCACTGCAGGGACACCAGGACACAGTGCCACAGCGGCTGCTGTGGACCTCTTGGATGATGAGTCCTTGCATGTTTTCATAAGCTTCAGTCTGCTCCACTCCACCTTGAGTCTTCTCCTTCCACAGGGACGCAGCCTGGCCCCGGGGCTGCCAGCCAAAAGGCTCCAGCTCTGCCCTTCCAAATCTCCACTTCCAGAAGGGGAGCAACACCAGGCCCTGAGAGCACACGCTGCACAGACCCGCCTGGGAGCCCACATCTCACCTCTGCACCACAGAAGAACCATACACCGCTCTCCATGTCTCTGCCTGAGCTCTCCTGGCACCCTTTTCCATAAATCCCAGGACCATCAGGGAGTATTTTCCCTGCTAAGCTGAAGCCTCCGATGGGAGGCTCTCAGCCAGTCCTTTTCCTTTTGAGGGAGAGTTTGGAGGAAGGATCTGAGCCTGCTGCTGCCACACCACAAGTCCACCATCCCCTTTTCCAAGTGTTCAGCAGCATAAAAAACACCCCATCTCTCATGGGCTCTCTGCTCCTCCCTACACCATGACCAGAGCTCTCCAGGCTGCCTTGCAAAGCAGATCGCAGAAGACCAGCACATCCCAGCCACTTTCCCTCGGAAGCTTTAACCCAGCTTTCCCAGCTGATCTGAGGAACAAGTCACCCTCTGGAGACATGCACCCTCAGCAGAGAAAGGGGACATCAGAGCGTAATGGCCCTTGGAATGACTCCACTTCTCCTGGATCTCTGTTCATTCCTTCTGCAATGACAAGTGACCCCAACAAAGCCCAAAACCATCCAAATTAAGTTCCCTTCCAAATTCCTCTCTGTTGAGCTCTTGGCATTGGCAACTTCCACTGCCAGCAGCTCCTGTCCCCTGCCCCTCCGATGTCACTGCTACACATGGCTGAGCAGCCAGCCCAGTGCCTATGGGACACACAAAGCAGGGAGCCAGCCTGGGCTACGGAACTACTTAAATCCCATTTTCTACCCGTAATTGCCTTCAGAGCGAAAACAAATGGGAGGTAAGAGACTGGCTGCCCAGCCCAGC